GTTTCTCTAGAAAAATTAGGGTTACGTTTTAGCGACACGTTTTTCGAGAAAATTAATTTATATAATTTAAAAGTTCGCGGTCGCTGCATTATTATTATTATTATTATTACACCACCTCATAAATTTATGGAAACTCCACCATTTAAATTCAATTAAAAAAAATAAAATAGACACGACCTATTATGAGATGAAAGAATTGTTGCACCGAAAAACGTTCTGTTTTGATATTTTATTGATTAGTGTAGTGATGATTGAGACTGTCATTACCATAATAATGGTTTTAATTATGATTATGTTTCTTGAATTATCTGGTCTAGACGAAATTTCTAATAGCATCAGTATTGATTAATACTCGTCTCTCCAATAAAAGAAGAAGACATTACATATATAATTAGGCTGAAAAGGGGTTTTGTATTTATTCCTCGAGAATCATGATTACCTTAGTCAAGAGAGCTAGAAAGAAATTTGAGAACCCTATTGCATCAACCATAACGAGTAACATAAAATCGACTTATAATAGAGAATTCGTAAGTGATCATTAAATCAGATTTTAGCTTAGCGACACGGGGCACAATTCGAGTATCAAGATTCCGCCCCTTATTTTAGGAACGACATACATAACTGCCTATATTTTGAGTTAGGAGACTTTACGGAACGAGCTTGTACTGGTGGTCTCATCTACAGAAGGGTGTGTGCTGCTCTAACACCAATCGTACGTAACAATATGTTAAGTAGAATTAGAGCTCACCTTTAAAACCAATTTGTACTCAAAAGATATGTCCAACTTGTTATAAACTTCCTTAACATAGTAACAATATATAATTGATCGTCTACCCAGAGTGGACATGAGTTATGTTGCGTACGTGCCGATGTGACAACATGTGGTATTGTCACATCGACAGTTGTTTTTTAAATTTGTCCCCCAACAATTGATGTAGTGTTGACATATCGATGGTGGGCAATATATTTCCTGCCCACTGTGTGATTAGTTCTGAGTAACAATATATATCTATATGTACCTATGGCCCTAGGGCTAGGGTTTAAACAAAAAGGGTTGATGCCATTTCAGGCGTGCATCATCTGTTCTCTTTCATATTCTTTTTCAAGCATTATGCTAATCAGTTGTCATCCCACGTGCTTCTAACTGGCATTTTCTCACCCTAGTGAAAACTAGTGGGTACTCTATCAATTTGCCATTCATGTTTGCAAAACTTTTCTTGAAACAAAGCTAGATAAAAAGGGATATGTAATCTGTTAAGTAATGAGTATTGTCTTCTTCTGGACTCATGATCACTGAATCGGACTTGGTCTATCTATATATCCTGATATTTATCCTGTTTGCGAGTTAACATGTTTGTGAACCGCTCATATCCGGTCCAAGCCCCCCGAGAAAACAGAAGGGTTTCACTAGATTGATAGTCAGCGGAAAACTTAGTCAAATCCTAGGACATGGGTTCTAATTAACGTGTTCTGAGTGAGAGAGACAGGGGTTTCGTTTTCTACCTGTGCTATATAGCGTAAAAACTGTATTCATGACCCTTCATTATATTTATTTCAGCACACTATCGTTGCTTTCATATAATT